ATCTTCAAACATTTCAGTCTGCTGTTGATCGATTTGATTGTGACAGTGAGGTGGAGCGCCGTCTAATTGATACCAAGACTTCCTTAGTGGGTCTAAAGGTATATCATCTAGAAAATCTGCCACAACCGTTTGCAAAATATTGAGATATATGTCGGCATTTAAATTTTCTTCGTAGATATGGTAAGAAATTTGGTTATCTTTAATTAGACAAAAAACATTTACGCTAAATTTATTTTGAAAGTTTCTTTCCCGGATAACATGAGGACTTTCAGATGACCACAAATGAGTATTATGTCTATTAAAAATACCTTCTCTCGTAAATTTTGACTCATCTGTCCATATAATATGTTGAAAAAATTGTGGATCTTCTTGGTATCGCAATGGACGCTCGTGAAATGCCTAAATCATACTCTGCGGCACGAATTGAGGATTCTGGATGAACATTAAAATAGGCTAGCACATTTTTATTACATTATCTTTATTTGAAGTTATTGGTTTTGGTAAAATTCTTTCTGCACAAATTCGACCATACTCTAGTTGTTTTGCTAAAATTCTTCTTAACTTTTTTCTGCTCATTGGTGGCAAATTTGGATATGTCTCATTAAAAACTGTACATGTTCTGCTTATAACATGCTAAATATCAGTTGTTTGTTTTGAAGTTTTGCTAAAAATTCCACAGCTATCCTCGCAAGAAATTACATGATTTTAGGTGATTACACAAAAAATAGTAGATAACTTAAAAACTAGAAGAGATAGGTATAGGGAACTCTGATACCGTTCGAAGAAGAATAAAATTGGGTATCAGAATATAGAAAAACATACAGGGTGTTCCATTTAATAAAACCGACTTATGAAGGTTTGAAGTTTACTAATCTCGGCATTAATTTTCTAGCACACCGTATGCAATTAAGCCACTTTGAAAGTATGGATGGGAAGCTATCCCCCCTATAAATATTGTTGCTTTATCTTTTTTAAAAATTTCTCTCCAATTTTTTGAAAAAAATTAAGTATCTCGAAAACGGTTAATTTTAGGGATAGGGAAACTTCATAAAAGTCCACCTAAAATAACACGTAGAATCCAAAATTGCAATAATTTATAGGGTGCTCCATTTAAAATAAGCAAGTTGATGGCGACTTCCGGTATAACCGGAAGTGGTACATGGACGCCATTAGTTTAGTTGAGAAGGGCATCTCCGAAAACCCGGTATCCCAAATTTTCAAAATTCAAATAGAAGTAGTCTCTGAAATAATTCTAATGGGCCGTCACCGTGAGGCACCCTGTATATTATATGTAGCGAGGCAAAAAAAAGACAACAGATTCTAGGAAATTTATTAGCTGAACTACTTATACTATAATGCAAAACCCAAATTGTGTTGATTTAACCAAACTTGCTTAAATGAAAAATGTCGCAAAAAGTTACAGGGTGTTAAAGTTTCTTTTTTTTATTTCTTGTTTTCTCCTTAACTGAGAACCCAATTAACCTATTTGAGTAAAATTTTTGTTGTGGCTTAGTTACTCTTCATGAAGTATGCAGTGATTACGTTCCTGTTAGGTTAAATCACACAAGGCGTTCATTTTACTACAACCCTTTATGAATATTCTTCTGTAAATTTTTTGTACGTTTAAATTTTTACACATCCTCATAACCGAGCATAATTTCGACTTCTGATAGTTGCGTGTAGGAGAAAACAAGAAATAAAAAAAGAAACTTTTTTGCGACATTCTTCGTTCAAGACCCTAATGCAGGAAGTGAATTCTCAAAAAGCTGAAGACCATATAGAACATGAATCATTATGAATAAATGTTATCCACTTCTCTTTGATTAAAAATTATCCATTCTAAGTCTTAGTTACAGATTGCACGTGTAATTTTTTTATAATGATTAATTAGTAAAAAGAAACAAATGAAGATCATTCGGACCTTAACGGTTTTGGAATATCCCGGATGATGATCAAAGTGACTTATTCCATAAAAATCAGACATTTCTCGTCCAGCTCACAGATAACAGCCCGAATTTGTATATACTAATTCATTGAAGATCAATGAACAAATGAAAATCAGTCTGCCCTTAGTGGCCCTTAGTGGTTCTGGATCACCTTGTAATCCAAGTACGAGAAGAGCGTCGATTACCGCGTGAAAATCCCCCTCTCCCAGTCCGATTGTCTAATTTGCTCTTAATGATCGAATAAAAATCAATAAACAAATGAAGATCGGTGGGAGTCTCCCAAAGTTAAGGTACAACTAATCAGAAGAAGAATGGGCTCTACCGCATCAAAATTGGCCTTTTCCAACCCACGTAATATCCGAAATACGCTAATTTGTTAATAATAATTGATTATTAATAAATAAACAAATTAGCGCCGCATGAGACGTTGTAGACTTTGACCTACATGCAATTACAAAGAGAACGCTCTTTGTCTGATCAAAATCGAACCTTCTTTATCCAATTCCGAGATGAAATGCTAATTTTCCTGGACTAGATATGTTAGAGTACTTCATTAAAAATAATAGAAAAGCAACTGTGACTTTAAACATTTACATATATTGGAAATTGTCCCGAGAGGCAACCACCAAATGAAATGTATTTTTCTAAATTTCTAAATTTGAGAATGTTTGGAAGTTTTGAAAAGCTACATATTAAGAGCTATGAAAGAGATAACTGGGGCAATAATATTTTTCTTCATTGGAACAACGCAAAGCCATTTTGCCGATTTTAAAACAAGTGTCACACTAACTGTTAACAAGTAACTATATGATTAACAATAACTCAAAATGACAAGCAGTTTAAAACAAATCTAAATATTATTATCGTCATGGAGATTTATAGATTAGCTACTAATAGGACTTTTCTTCGTAAACACGTGGCGTGGTCATTACTATCCTTTTTCACTCAACGCAATTACATTAATAATAAGCTTTTACAAAAATTTGAGACTACCCTATATTAGTTTCGAAAAATTATGCGGTGTTGCCAGATTTATTAAAAATTTTCCAATACTTTCACAACCATCGGGTAGATACTTGTTTCCAGCAAATGTTTCCATCTAGATTTCCCAGTAGGAAGAAAGGCTCTATGAGGTGGTCCCATGCCCGCCCAAACATTCAATTTCCTCGGATGCTGAGTTTCATGAAAAATGCATGGATTTTCATCATTCCAGTAGCGGCAGTTATAGCGGTTGACTCGACCATCTAGTTGTAGTAAATAGATTGAGTACAAACAAATTTGGATTCCTTCGAGCACTCATTTCTTCACAGCACAGAACTGTAAGCGGCGAACAGAATCGTCTTTATTAATTTCTTGTACCAAATTAATTTTGCATGGGTGAAACTTGTGAATTTTTAAGATTCGGCGGCAACTAGGTATACAGGGTCGGAAAGTCCCCATGGTTCATCGGCCGTTACGTGAGAGCGATAAAGAATGTCATAGATATCCGTGCGATAGAGAACGATGGCTACAGTGAAGGCGTCTAATAGTCACCGCCCATTTCGCCCTTCCACAAATAAGAAGTGGATCTTATTTGTGGAAGGGCGAAATGGGCGGTGACTATTAGACGTCTTCATTATAGCCGTCTTTCTCTATCGCACGGATTTCTATGACCTTCTTTATCGCTCTCACGTAACGGCCGATGAACCATGGGGACTTTCCGACCCTGTAGAAATTCCTGAAGTACTTCCAAGTTTCCTGAGAGAATTTGATTCCATTACGATGTGAGCCAGGACAACTACAACCTGTTCACGTTGACGATTTCTGTTTGCAACCGATCCAGTTTCCAAAAATTTATGCACTAAATCCAGGACGTACTGATGCGAAGTGTTTTTGTAAGCATGACGATCATTAAAAATATGTGCTGCCTAGTTTTGTTTGTAGGCTTCCGTGGCTGTCGTTAATGGTTGAATGATTTCCGGGCTGGTTGCCACGTCGTAGATTTACAACTCTTGACGTTTCGAGAGACATATCGCTCTCTTCTTCTTCAGAAGTTACTCTGAAACTGGAGATCTACTAATCTTGTCACTATTTATATTTGATGTGGCCACTGATCCATGACGTTCCGGTGGGTGACTTTGTACGCGTTGTTGACGTTCCAGTGGGTTGCTTTCACGGATGACTCTCTTCCATATACCTGGTAGATCCACGCTACCTCCCTGTTGAAATTGTTCGGATTTTTGTAAATTTCCAATGCTTCTCTGTATAATCGGGGCCAATATCTTCTCTCTTTCACCAACATGTTGGCTTCACTCAGATCCACTGTGTGCACCGTGTCTGCCCTATGCTCTGCTACTGCCGATGTTTCCCAGTTGTTATTTTTGAGGTAACTTTCGTGTTCCCTTAACCTCGTGTTGATGTGCCTTTCTGTTTGTCGTATGTAGACCTTTCCGTAAGAGCAAGGAATACTGTACATACCAGGGCCCTGGAGCTGATCGTTATTGCAGGTCTTTGGAAACGCTTCCGCCACCTTCTTTATGAATCAATAACAATACTGCCTGCCGACAAGGGGAAAGCAACAGTCGTACTGAACACCGTTGACTACATCGCCAAGGTGGAAAACCTATTGTTGGATCCCATTTACTAGAACATCTGAAACAGCCCAGTCAAGAAAGTTGAGAAGAAGGTAGCCGCTGCAGTCCGATCCTCAAACATACCCAAGGAACTTCACAGGAGTTTGATCCAAACCGACTCAAGGACACCTCAGCTGTACTGCTTGCCAAATATTCACAAACCGAATATCCCTCTTCGACCGATAGCGAGTGCAGTTGGATCAGCAACACATCCCCTGGCCCGATACGTCGCACATGAGATAAGGGACTTAGTAGGAAGGACAGAGCATCACATCAAAAATGCCGAAGACTTTATATTGACACGATTCGAGGAATTGAACTCCAACCAGGAGATATCCTGGTGAGCTTCGATTTTACATTCTTATTTAGGAAAGTACCCGTCGACGAAGCCTTGGAGGAACTGCATCGAAGACTAATCGCAGAGGACAAGGATGAGAGCCTAATGGATTTGGCAGAAGTGTACATAAAATCGACCTTCTTTGCATTTCGGGACCAATTCTACGAAGAGACGGAGGGAGCAGCAATGGGTTCACCGTTATCTCCGGTCCTGGTCAATATATACATGGAAGCCTTGGAGAAGAAAGCCCTAGAATCCACAACGTTGAAGCCTAAGTGCTGGTACCGATATGTTGACGACACCTTCATCATCTGGCCCCACAGACGCAACAACGTAGCGGATTTCCTGGATCACATCGATGGGATACATCTAGATATCCAGTTTACCATGGAAGTAGATAAAAACGCCGCCCTTTCCTTCTTGGATGTTTTGGTTGAGAGGAAACCAGATGGCACTTTAGGACATCGAGTATATAGGAAGCGAACTCACACAGACAAATATCTGAATGCGGAGTCCCACCACCACCCAGCCCAGAATACCTTGATTCATCGAGCACAGATCATCAGCGAGCCAAGACACTTGGCCGAGGAACTAGAACACCTACGCACGGCCCTGAGAGGGAATGGAGAAATATCGAACGAACTATCAGGATGAGACATACGCCCATGAAGAAAAGGGAGTACTTAGCGACGACGTATCTACCTTACGTTAAAGGTTATACTATAAAATCAGACGACTTTTGAAGAAGAGGAATATCAACACAGTATTCAGCACTGTAAAGAAGGTGGCGGCAGCGTTTCCAAAGACCTGCAAGAACGACCAGCTGCAGGGTCCCGGTGTGTACAGTATTCCTTGCTATTGCGGAAAGGTCTACATAGGACAAACTGGAAGACACATCAACACGAGGTTAAAGGAACACAAAAGTCACCTCAAAAATAACAACTGGGAAAAATCGGCAGTAGCAGAGCATGGGCAGACACGGGACACACAGTGGATCTGAGTGAAGCCAACATGGTGGTGAGAGAGAGAAGATTTTAGCCCCGACTATACAGAGAAGCATTGGAAATTTATGAAAACCCGAACAATTTCAACAGGGATGGTGGCGTGGATCTGCCAGGTATATGGAAGAGAGTCATCCGGGAAAGCAACCCACTGGAACGTCAACAACGCGTACGAAGTCACCCACCGGAACGTCATGGCTCAGTGACCACATCAAATATAAATAGTGACAAGAACAGTGGATCCCCAGATTCAGAGTAACTTCTGAAGAAGAGAGCGATATGTCTCTCGAAACGTCAAGAATTGCCTGCCATACACAGTCAATATTCTTGTAGAACAAACTAATTATTTCCACTTTTCTCATTTAAAAAACAGGTAAAAACTGATGGAGTATGAAATTTTTGTATTGACAGATAAACGAAAAATCAAAACAAATTTTTTTATCGAGAAATTGTTGAAGAATGAATCAGATAACGCCCGGAATGCTTCAAAACGTTCGTTCGGAAGTGGAGCAAAGATTATTATACGGAAGCGCAGGGAAACCAATTTGAACACTTAATAAAGTAACATTCTTTCATTCATTGATATTTTGTCTTATTCTTTAAGTGATAATTTTATTGTCATGTCCAAACCAAAATTTAAAGTCGTATGTCATCATAAGCAGAATTGAAAATGATTTAAAATGAGGTGTCACTCAACATAGGGTGCCATTTAAAGTTTAAGGGTATTTTACGCACCTGAAATTTCTGTCTGCATAGTTTCATAGAATAATCCTTCACAACTCGTTTTTTTCACAGAGAAAAAACTCTTTTATAAAATTTATATGAAATTCACTGTCGCTGGTGTAAACATATAAAGCCTATTTACTCATTAGAATCCATAAAAAAAAATCAGGAAATATGGAATGTAAATAATATTTATTTTCTAACTTGGTCAAGAACAAAGAATTATTTTTTTATTATTAATATAAGTTTCATAATGCATTTACTTCCTCATATGCAACAATTTTCAGTTTTTGTTTAAATATATTTAAATTTTTAATCAACGAAGGCTGGAACTAAAATGATTTCTTGGTTTTCCTGATTTCGGTTAGGCGAAGGTAATGTTACCTGACAATTCCGGTATGTTTTTGTCTTCTTATGAACTTAATTGTGTGTTCTAATTTTAGAAGAGTTATTACGCACCTACCTATTTTATTGTGACGACAGTTTTACATAACAAATAGTTAGAGAACAGTAAAGTAAATATTCATTAAATTTAAAATTCCCCAAAATACAATTGATTGCTAATACGTGCAGGAAAATGTTCAATGATTAAGTACCTTACTACTTTATTGCTTCTTTGACACGTAAAAAAATATATTACATTTAATTTACGATAAGTATGTAGAAGGCGTTAAAGAAACATTATAAAGATATCTCGTTTTTATTTATTTATTTTTTTTTATATAACGCAACATAATGAAAAACACTACAATTAAAGGATTGCAAGTAAAGTCTTGTACCACTACTTTGAAACGGCAAGTTTCGAGTTAAACGATGATTCAGGTGTTAAATATTTTTTTTCTGAATTTTCTCGATACGATCAATATGCGGGTGTTCCAATTAAAACACACCTGGAAAATATCGGAATTAAAAAAAACTAAAAAAATCCTGACACGTCGATTTTCTTTTCAAGGGGGACATATGACACATTTAGGTGTCTTGGAAGCTACCCCTTAGACAGGGACGTAAAATATCTTTAAAGTTTAAATGGCACCCTATGTTGAGTGACACCTCATTTTAAAGCTTTTTTAAAGCATTGAACGAAAGAATGTTACTTTATTAAATGTTCAAATTGGTTTCCCTCCGCTTCCATACAATAATAAAATCTTTGCTCCACTTCCAAACGAACATTTTGAAGCATTTCGGGTATTATCTGACGATATTTTTCAACACTTTCTCGATAAAAAAAATTGTTTTGATTTTTCGTTTATCTGTCAATACAAAAACTTCAAACTCTATCAGTTCAACTTTTTTACCTGTTTTACTTAAACGAGACAATACTGTCTCGTCTTGTCTTGTCAAGACAATATCCCGTAAAATCATCACAAAGTCGATTGAATTCCAATTCGTGAAAATGGTTTATCAAATTGCTGAAAAAGTGGAAATAATTAGTTTGTTCTACAATAATAACGACTGTGTGCGGCAGCACAGATTTTTAGTGATCGTCATCCTGACAAAAACACTTCGCATCGGTACAGTCCTGGATTAGTGTACCTATAAATTTTCGGAAACTGGATCGGTTGCAAACAGAAGCGTGAACAGGTCGTACGTAATGTATTTATTTATTTAACATACTTTTCCCAATTATAAAACAGGGGTTTAAAGACAATAATAATAAAAAAGTACATTAATTACAAACAAAATTAAAAAGAACAAAAAATACAGAACATTATAAAAAAGAAGGAAATAAATAAAATCTATACACTAATACTAAATAATTATTCCCATAAATGAGGATTAAAATTGCATATCTAAAACTTCAAGATATTAAAAATAAAATATTTTCAAGTCATTATGGCTGCAGTTAAAAATATCTACAGAATTTTTATTACAGTTGTCACAAATTTCATAATGTGGTGAATGTTTGAGTACATTAGTACAAGGAGTTGGTAAATAAAATGTTCCGTTTTCTCTAGAGCTAAATCGAGGTATAGAAAATGATAATTTGGTTATAAATTCCTGGCAATCAACCTACTACAAACTACTTAAAATTTTAGAAAGAAAAACCTGCGAAAAGTATTTCCGTATAAGTTCAAGGCTAATAAAGGAATGTCTACTTAGAAGGTCCACATGCGAATATCCATATGTGGATAGTAGTCATCAGATTTAAAATTTAAAATTTTTAAAAATCGACGCTGAATAGATTCTAGTTTATAAATGTGGACACCACTGTGCGGAGACCATACAGGAGAGGCATATTCAAGTTTCGATCTAATGTAACTAAAGTAAAGAAACTTTATAACATCTAAGCTTGAAAAATCACGACAGTGGCAAACTATAAATTCATATGCTCTATTAGTTTCGGAGACAACAGTATCAATATGATTATTAAATGATAGTTTTTCATCAAATACAACGTCCAGGTTTCGAAATGTTTTCTGTCGTGACAAAATGTCATTGTCAATGCTGTAATCATAAATAATGCGAGTGAACTTGTTGGAGAAAGACATGGTATTACATTTTTCCGTATTTAACATTAGCCTGTTATTATTCCACCAAGATTTTATATTAAGAAGGTTTCGTTGAAGCTGAACAGTTATTAATGTTGCGAATTGAGCTGTATATTTTCACATCATCGGTATAAAGAAGAAAATTTCCCAATATGACGGATTACACGGTTCTTAGGGGCACAGCGTCAATATAACCAGTGCTTTTATGTTATGAACATATACGATAAAATGTGAAAGAAAACAGGATATCGTTACTAAATAAAGAAAAGAATAAACGGCCCAAATGAGGCCCCTGCGATATCATTGATGTAATTTTTTGGCATAATTAAAAGTAGAATTATTTTCCTTCGCGCATTGTGACCTATTGGATACTTACGATTTTATCAACCTTAGGAAGATATTTTCTAGTTTACCAACAAAGTAGAATAATGAATTTTATCAAAAGCTTTAGAAAAAAAAAGTGTACACTGTGTTTACTTTGATAAAAATTTTTGGAACATATCTGGTCCAGATTCAATTTGAGAAATACTGCTATATATCTTTAAAAATATAGAAATTGTCAAATATACAACGTTAAATGAAGTCGATGATGGTTCATAAACACTACCTAAGTAATCTGAAGAGGCCGTTAATTTGTCGTTGCTATTGTTGAATGTTGTAGAAGCGGTACAGAATTATTTTTATATTTGCCACAAATAACCAGAAACATTTAATGTTTATTTTAATGTTATTTGTACGTTATATAATCTCCACAATTATGTTTTACAGCATTTATAATATTGGAAAATGTTATATAATCTAAGTTATTTTTATACCTCTTCCACCGTCACACACTGAGATTTTTTAAGTTTTTTTTTTCAAAATTCCATAAGATGGCCAGATTACAACCGATCTTCATACATTTATTTCTAAAATACTCGTAAAGACTTGTACTTTCATGCCCAAGTGCTATAAATTTGATTTGAGTCATATCGATTGAGTTTTGAGATGTTAGGTTGCCAAATTTCATTTTTTTGTATTTTCAGATAATAAAACGTTGAATATTAAGGATGAGACAGCAGTAGGGGTCATTTTTTGAGGGGAATATATACCTACTGAAGATCTGAGATGGTATACGTTTGATTTGGGTCATATTGATTGAGTTTTAAGAGGTTAAGTTGCCGATTTCCGTTTTTCCAGAAAGTAAACGTTGAATATTAAGGGTAAGAGAGTAGTAAAAGTAATGTAATGGGGAAGAAAGTGTACTTAATAAAGTTCTGAGATGTCATAAATTTGATTTACGTCATATCGACTGATTTCTAAGAGGTTCTCTCACCTTTAATATTCAACGTTTTATTCTCTGAAAATACAAAAAAATTGAAATTTGGCAACCTAACCTCTCAAAACTCAATCGATATGACCCAAATCAAAATAGCACTTGGGCATGAAAGTACAAGTCTTT